AAGTGGCGAGGGTTCACTGTAGTAGGTTATTCTAAAAGTCCGAAAGACAGCAACTGTGGTCTCTGTAAGATTGTTCCAAACATGGGGATATTTCTGGGGTTGTATGCTATATGTGTATGTGTGTGTGTGTGTACATAAAATATGTTAAACATTTTCTATAACAAAAATGATCATTTCATATCCTTCACAGATGCAATTCAGTGACATCGATTATGTTCATCACGTTGCTCAATGAATCACACTGTCCATTTCTAAAAATTTTCATTATCCTTAACAGAGCTCAATGCTTGAAGGAACGGTATCCTCATTACTCTTTCCTCTCTCCCCTGTCAACAACAACAACAACAACAACAAACAAGCAAACAAACCACTAATACATTTTGGTCTTGATGCATTTGCCTGGTTCCCATATTTCACCTAAAAAGCAGAGTGTTCCTCAGAGTACTCCAGCTTAGTTGACTGAGCATAAGGTTTCCAACACTCATCCATATTGTCCTATGGATCTGGACTGGGGTTGTTAGTTTTTGATAGTGCTGGTTTCTATTGTGACAATGACTTGTCGAACTTTTATAAGTAGGCTGGTTGTGAGTGAGCACATAAACGAGGAAGCAGAGGAGGCTGAGCCTATTAGGCACTCAGGCCTGGAGGCTCAGGAGGTTCCGGTAAACTTACCCAGAAGTTATCTCTTGCAGACAAACCAAGTGATGTCGCTAAGCTTTCCGGAGAAAGGAGAACCAGGTTCCTTACCTCACTGACCTTTGAAGTGAGGCAGGAGTAATTTACTCTGTAATCCATCCTTGGGTGGGGAATGCTTTCTTGCTAAAGTGGAAAAAAAGCCTTGATAATTGTAAAACATTCTCAAATTTCTTGGCTACGCTGCTTCTGATCAGTGAGCTGGCTGGCATGCGGGCCAAGCAGGACGCCAAGTGCAGCATGTGTGACCCCAAGAGACTTTCCATCTTTCCTTGGCCTGAGACCAGCTCTCCTCGGATGAGTCAGCCTGGATGCCTGTGATGCATTCTAGCAATGCATCTGCGAGAGAGGAGCAGAACACCCCCATCTATGCCCTTCAGTTGCCGCTGCGTCTCCCTCCCTCCCACAGCAGCTATGGCAATACTGCACTGAAGTTCCCACTGCTCCCATCGTCAGAGCCAGTGCAGGGAAAGAAGCAAACTGCATAAGTGGTGCTTCCCCAGAAACTGTCCCCATCCCACTCCTCACCCAAGGCGCTTTCAGGACATCTGTCCCTCCCCGGCCGAGCCAGCTTTGCTCAGCTATGGAAACCCTCCCACTGATGCGTTCTCGAGGTCGCTTCTGCTTGCAGTCAGTACCGCCAGTCACATTCCAATCATGAACCAGAAGGTTGCTCAGAAAGAAGAAAGGGCGACTGCCTTCCAGAAGCATTCCAAAGATGGAGCAGGCCCAGAACCCTTTGCCACATGGAGTCCTTGCCTATTCAGTCCTTGCCTGATAAGACAGAGTAAAAATGCCCTACAGAATTCCTAAGGCTGTCCATCTCTACGGAAGTAGAC